TAACACTAGACCTAGAACTAGAACCATTCGGGTTTAGCTATGCGTCTCTTAAGACGGCTAAACCTGAATGTTTCTAGTTCTAGTTCAAGTGATAGTTCCAGAGACAGTGCTAGGTAGCGCTAGTTAGCATAAGATATCTGAAGACGTACGGCTAAACCCGAAACTTTCTAGTTCTAGGTCTAGTGTTAGTTCTAGTTTTGCAACAGCACTATCATTAGAACCAACACAAGACCTAGAACTAGAATTATTCGGGTTTAGCTGTCTTGAGAGACGTGCGGCTAAATCCGAATGTTTCTAGTTCTAGGTCTAGTGTTAGTTCTAGTTTTAATTGTTATTCAGCGTTAAATTGTGGTATATTTTTATGGAACAAAAAGTAGAACTAACAATAGACCTAGAATTACAAACATCCGGGTTTAGCCGTAGGAACGAAATAAAAACTTTTAGGAAAGAAACGAGAAATAAAAGCATAGGTTAGGGCGATACGCGAAGTGAGAAGGGATAGCAGATTTATAAGGAGTCAAAAGGAGAAGAAAGATCAATCGATGACTGAAGATTGAAGAAAGAAAAAGTATCAGAAGAAGATGAACTTGACTTTAGAATAAAGCTTACATGATTATAATAATAACAATAATAATAATATTCCTTTATTACCCAACAGGTATAGCCCAAAAAAGGATAACAATATACAGTGTGTCCCCGAATAGGTGAAACGACTCTTATAAGATGTAAAATTTTTTTGATATTAATTGTCATCTTTTGGGGTTTGGCCTTCCTTGTTTAAAACATTATTTTTGAACATATTTTCAAGTTTTAAAAAACTTGTGTGTCAGGTAAAGTGCCTTTTCTGTTTACAGTATGCTAAAATGTTACTAAGAAATTTTATTCAGAATGAAAAGTTATATCCATACGCAAATTTTCGTCAAATTTGTTTATTATTTTCGTCAATACTAGTACTTTATTACAATTTTTTGTTTTGAGATTCAGATTGTTCGGGAGAAATAAACAAATCGTTCTTAAAATGTTCACCAAAAATTAAGTGTGTGTTCGCCCACAAAAGAAAACAGTTATTCATAGTTAACTCAGTTTCAAATCAGTTTCATCATAATTTTTTTTTCTTATAGTGAACACTTCCTGCTGTAAGAAATCTTTTGATTAAACGCCAACAAGTACTACTTTGAAATCTAGTATTTGGAAATTTTTCACTAAATAAAGCAATAACCATATTTATCAGGTTTTCCCCGATTCCATAACACTTAACATTGTATTTAAAAAACACTTTAAGTTTACTAAATTACAGTTTGACAGATTAGCATTGACAGAAAAGCAATTTTGTTTTTCCATGGCAGTCTTTGTTAGAAATAAAATTGTTTGATATGGATTTTTATCAAAGTAGGTCGATCATTCCGAAAATTTGTGTATGGCCATAATTTTTCATTCTGAACAAAACTTCTTAGTATACTTTCACGTACTGTAAACAGAAAAGGTACTTTGCCTGCTACAAAAAGAGTTTTTCTTTCACTGTCAAGGCTCAGTTGTTTTTTAAGAATTGATAATATGTTCAAAATTACTTTTTAATCAAGCAGGGCTAAACCCCAAAAAATCCCAATTAATATCGAAAAAAATTTACCTTTTATAAGAGTCGTTTCACCTATCCCGGGACACACTGTATATTACATAATGTAATAATACAATATTAACATTTGACCGAATTATAAAGAAAATAAAAATAAAAACTAAATAAGTGAATTTACATGTAGGTGATCACTGATTGTCTGGAATCCTGTTGCCCACTTTACAGAGAGTGTATGTTGACGCCCGTCTTATAATGTGTGTTCTAGCATAAGGAATGACGAATACGCAGCTATATCTTGACTTACTCGTTGGAACAACAAACCCTAGTCGCTCAAGAATGAAAGGCCAATCGATGTTATATTCGATAAGCCTTTGTAGAAACCTTTCATAAAACGCGTTTCTTCTGTCCATCAAGGAAACCATATTGTGTCGTGCAAGCAAATCATTTTGTGGTATACCTCGCTCAGGGTAAATTCCATCAAATTTGTAAGAAAGAAATTTTAAGAATCTACGATGGACTCGATCAAGGCTTAAGAACTCACACGCATATAAGGGACTCCAAATCAGGCAAGCGTATTCTAACTTACTCAGAACGTAAGCACAATACAAGGTCTTTAATAAGATGACACTTGTGAAATATTTAGACATACGCATCACACAACCTAGGGACCTAAAGGCCTCCGAACACACATTATTGATATGTGTTTTAAAATTAAGACTTGCATCAAAGAGGACCCTCAAATCCCTGTACTCCTCAACACGACTTAAAGTGCTGCCAGCAATATTGTAAGGATATACAGGGTGTCCCGTTAAGCGTACGGAGCGGCTGTATCTCTAGAACGGTAAGACCTAGAGGTTTGGGAAAAGAACCCTTATAAGCAAAGTGACCAAGAGAAATAGCTGGAAATTATTTTGAAGTTCGTAATTCGACCGCTAGGGGGCGTAACTGCCATTGAGAAACATAAAGTTCCCGCTATCTCAGAAACTTAAACGATGAGCTATAACTTTGACAACATCATTTAATAGCTTGGATAATACCGCATCGCTTTTGTTTTACGATATTTCTTATATCTGTCATAATAAGGAAGGGGGAGGCCAATGCGTTTTCATATGTTTACATTTTAATATCTCCTAGACCATTCAACCGATTTGAATATTTTCGGTATTGTTTGAAAAAGCATTTTATGCTTTTTTTGAAGATATTTTCAGTAAGGCCGTTCGTTTTAAAACAAATGAGCTAGAGGACGTTATCTGCAGCGATTACATATTTTTGTAATTTTTGAAGAAAAGTTAAATGGAACGATACTATTTACTTCTCAGACCCTTAGTCACCTTCAAATTTGCTAAATTTTAGTGAAAACCGCATCTCGATATCGCCACCCGTTCTCGAATTATAGAAGAAAATGTTAAAAACTCGAGTGCCATCTTAGCGATTACGGAAAACTGGCAACGTGTAACCCATTCAGACATCTCTATGAATTCGTAAATCACATTGGTGCGCAATGTGATCCCTCATAATCTGGGAACTCCGAAAACAATTATCCACAAGAGTTCTCAAGAGAATAATATCTTCACAACGTTGTTTTACATCAGGCCTTAACAGATACCGATTATGATAACAGACTGAACTATTACCATTGACTTTTAAATATCATTTGGGCAAATCCAAACCTTTTATCACAAATGCTATGGATGCATGAAGCATCTGTCCACAAGCTGATGTAAACTTGCATAATATGCATTCTTGGTTCGAGCAAAACCCACATTGCTTTCACCCCTTTATCTATTGGGTAGATTAAACAACCTGACTTCAAAAAAAACCAATAACCAGGGAAAATATGACAAAACACTAAATACCAGTAGAAACGTGTCCAGGGCCGAGGCTTAAGCAGCGCTTTTTTTTCGTCGAAACTAGATTAAATAAATGCATCGAGGTTTATGGAAGGCATTTCGCACATTAGTGAGTTATTTTTGACAAAAATTTAAGTTATTCTAAGTGTTTTGGTTTATTTTGTTTTATTATCATTGTAGATGTTTCATTGATCCGTTGGCTTTTCAACACGCCTAAAAAGTAGTTTTGAAGCAGTTCTAAGCTTGGATAAAGTGTGAAGGAAGGTTCTAGATAATAAAATTATTGTTCTCTCTTATTTGTTTCTTAAGGTAACTTGATCCGATTAAGATATACGAATTTTTAACATTTTCTTTTATAATTCGAGAATGGATGGAGATATCGAGATGCGGTTTTCACTAATATTTAGCAAATTTTATGGTGATTAACGGTCTGTCAAGTAAATAGTACCGTTCCATTTAACTTTTTTTTAAAAATCACAAACATATGTAACCGCTGCAGATAACGCCCTCTAGCTTATTTGTTTTAAACCAAGCGGTCTTACGGAAAATATCTTTTAAAAGAGCACTTTCAAACAAGACCAAAAATATTCAAATCGGTTGAATGGTCCAGGAGATATTAAAATGTAAACATTTGAAAACGCATTAGCCTCCCCCTCCCTTATTATGACAGATATGAGAAATATCGCAAAACAAAAGCGATGCGGTATTATCCAAGCTACTAAATGATGTTGTCAAAGTTATAGCTCATCGTCTAACTTTCTGAGATAGAGGGAATTTTATGTTTCTCTATGGCAGTTACGCCCCCTAGCGGTCGAATTACGAAGTTCAAAATAATTTCCAGCTATTTCTCTTGCCCACTTTGCTTATAAGGATTTTTTTCCCAAACCTCTAGGCCTTACTGTTGTTGAGATACAGCCGCTCAGTACGCTTAACGGGACATCCTGTATACATGGTGACGAGCATCGGCTATAAGTAAGTACACAACATTTATCTATATTAAGGTTAAGTTTGTAGGTCTTACACCATTGCACTATTGTATTTAAGTTGTGCTGCAGCTTATCTACATCTGCCACCGATGAGACTTCGGCATAGATCTTGATATCATCAGCATATCCCAATATCCGACTATCAATTTTTAGAAGTAAGTCATTTATGAAAAGAACAAATAATAGAGGGCCCAAATTTGATCCCTGTGGAACCCCTGAGGTAAGAGTGAACTCATTAGAAAAATATCCATTGTAAGCAACATAACATTTTCTATGTTGCAAATAAAAAGCCAGAAGTTGAATTGCTGAAGGAACAAATCCGAAAGAGCTCAATTTATACAAGAGAATTCTATGGTCAATCAGATCAAAGGCTTTGGATAGATCAGTGTATACAACATCAACGGTGTGATTGAGTAAGAATTATTTTTTTAATAAATTCTTATCAACTTTTTGTCATTTCATTATTGTTGCTTAATTTGTAATAAAGAATTCATGTAAACACTTCACGTCATAATAAGTTCAAAACTATATAAACAACTGATTTGATTATTAAATTAAGTTTCAAAATTTATAATTTAAAACATTACTTACCACATTTACTTCTACTCAAACTCTCCGTGATACTATTATAAGATTTGGCAGTAGAACTGAGATGATTGTGCGATGATTTGTCATTTCTGTCTGACCCTACAACAGACACGAAAAAATTCCATAAAATTAAAAATTACTTTCACGACAAAATACAAGATAAAAAAAGATTCCAACATAACTAACAAAAACAAGATAACAACCAGCAACCCCTAATTGAATACGAAAACTCTGCTCGTACCAGCGACCCTCCCTTTTGACTTAACGGCATAGACGAACTTTGGAATCGTTTTGTTATCAGATTACGCACCCCCTTTTACATCCTTCTACGTTCTAGCCGTATTCCACCCCCTTGAAATGTCTCGACTGTCAAACGTGGAGAGACCGAAGGTCTATTAATCAACGACAACGGTTACGCCACCCCGGTTAGTAAATCTAGTATTCTAGTCGAAACTCCCCGAGTTTAGGGGAGGGCGTGATAACAGTGGAATGGTGGCGATATTAAAGTGATGATAATCCGCGAAGTTACAGTGGAAAAACACGTGTTAAGTAGCGTCGTAACACGGCCGATTTGTTTGTTTTATTCAAAAGGGTTTCCCTTCCTTTGGGAGGGTTCTAATAAGAATCTTGGCTGCGGGGAGTGTTGGGTGGTGGCGGAACCCTTATTACTGGATCACGTGCGTTTATGCATGTATATATTCATGTATATATTCATGTATTCCTTAGTGGACCGGATGTCTGTACGTCTAGGTGGGCGTAAAAGTCGCCGTCTTTTATTTTGTACGGGATATTGAATTTGTGTCGTTGGGCATGTTGACTATTTATTTAGAATCTTTCAAAATGTCTAAATTAAAGACTATTTTTTTTTGACGAAAAAGACCTCCCCCATAGAATTGACATAAAAACCAATCCCACTCACAAAATACAATAACGTCACATGGCACAAAAGCTTTCGGGATTCGGTTAAAAAAACCCTCTTGCGATATCAAAAACCACGAACCAGCAGTGTTCGAAGCCGCCAGATCTGGAATCGCGGTCGGCTATCGCCGCCACAAATCACTGCCGAGCCGATTTTGGAAAACAATCGGCCTCCGCCTGCGGCGTAGCGGGCGATCGGGCGGCGGGGAGGGCGGGGCGTTCGCAATTAAACGCTTGGATCCAACATGGCGACCGGACGTTCGACATCAATCACGGCGCACACGTCAATTAGATACCGGAAGCGCGTCACTATCAATTTGAGCGCGGAGCCCTCCGACGCCCCCACCGGTAGCCGCCACCAACGCCACCGTTTGCTCTCCGTTGTTGATAATATGAGGTCGACCTATTGACAGTTACATTTTATCGATGATAAAGAAAAAATTTCCAAAAATGTACTATTCGTATACAGTGTCTGCCAAAAAGTCACCAACATCCTGTTTGGTTTTGGTTTCATTGCATCTACGTTTCTGAAATTTTGTTTGTATGGGATGTTCATCCCTATCTTCGATCTAAAATATTTTCAAGATGATCGTCACTTTAAGTCGACCGGAAATAGTACACAAAATCAATATTTTAAATAGGATTTTCTAAAAATTCGAAATATTTTCAATAATTATTATCCTATAGTTTGATATCATAACATAGGCTATCGTCAAACTACAATTTAACATACATATCATATTAAGATTAGCATGAAATATCACTGCATATTTACTTTATTTTATAGACACTATCATGTTGTAAAAAAAAATTGAACTAAAACTAGAACTAACATTAGACCTAGAACTAGAAAGTTTCAGTGCGTCTTCAGATGCATGGCTAATCGCGAATGTTTCTCGTCCTAGGTCTAGTGTTAGTTCTAGTTTTATACTAGCACTGGTACTATCTAGAACTAACACTATACCTAGAACTATAATCATTTGGGTTTAGCGACGATTTATGAGACGAACGGCTAAACCCGAATGTTTCTCGTTGTAGGTCTAATGTTGGTTCTAGTGTAGTGGTAAAATAAGTTAATATTAAGTATTGATAATGTAAGTTATCTAGTGTAGGGTTTAGCCGTCTTTAGAGACGTGCGGCTAAAATCAAATGATTCTAGTTTTAGGTATAGTATTAGTTCTACATAGTAACAGTGCTAGTGTTAGTTGTTATTCAGTGTTAGATTGTTGTATATCTACATTGAACTAGCACTAACACTAGACCTAGAACTAGAAACATTCCGGTTTGGCAGTCTTAAGAGACGCGTGTTAGTTGTAGTTTTAGTTCCAGCACTAAAACTAACACTAGACCTAGTTAGTTCTACTTTTAGTTTTGTTATTTAATGTTTGATTGTTGTATATCTACATTGAACTAGCACTAACACTAGACCTAGAACTAGAAATATTCAGGTTTAGCCATGCGTCTGAAGACGCAGAATATACAGTGTGTCCCCGGATTGTGTCCCCGTAAGGTATAATTGACGATAAATTTTTGAATTCAAATTACATCTTTTGCAATTAAAGTCTGGATGTCATAAAACGAAATATAACCAAGTTTTACCTCAAAGTACCAAAGTTAAAGCAAGAAGTTTGTTAACCATTGCAGGTAAAGTGGTCCTTCTGAGCAATGTACAACAAAAGTTGATTAAAATAAAATGTTTGTTATGTTAAATTATAGCGATATGCCGAATTTTATTAATTTAGCATATAAAAGAAAAAATGAGTTTTACAATAAAAACAAATGACCTGAGTGAACTAACAATTATCATTTGATAGCTTAGCTTTAGCCTATTGTCAAATATTAATTGATCATATTTACATTACAATATAAAATATTTATAGTGCACTGCTATGGATTGTTGAACATTAGTTACAATGCAGTTTTAAGGCAATTTGAGGAAAAATTTGGATTTTTAGTAGATAAAAAAACAATTAAGAGAGTTGTTAAAAAATTTTCGGAAACGGGCAATGTGGAAAATAAAAGGAAGGAAAAAAAGCTTTTAGATGAACATGATGCGGTGTCGATTGTTGCAGTAACGAACGCAATGGATTATGGTAAGGTGTCGTATTATAAACCAAAATTTAACCACACTATCGAATTAGGTGATGAAGCAAAACGTTTAGATTATTGTTTGTGGCTTGGGTACAAAATTTTGAAAGACAGAACTTTTTTAAAAAACATAAAAACATTGCGGCCCACATTCGACCATTTTAATTAGAAATTATTTAAATACGTTATTTCGAAAAAAATGGACTGGTAGATATGATCCGCAACCATACGCGCCAAGAAGTCCGGATTTATTTATTATGGATTTTTATTTTTAAGGTTATGTAAAACAAAAAGTGTACTCTGAAAATTTTAATAACAATTTAGACCGTTTAAAACAAAAAAAATTGAAACTGTTATTAGAGAAATTCCGTTGGACCATATTAGAAAAAGTTATAAACAATGTCGGAAAAGGGTTGAATTATGTGTTAGCGTTGGTGGTGGTATCATGGAATAAGCTTTTATGTTAATTTAGTTTAGATCGAAAATGTTTTGTTAATCTTATGATTTAAAAATCTGCATTTTGCTTTTATATCCTACATTAATAAAATTCGGCATATCGCTATAATTTAACATAACAAACATTTTATTTTAATCAACTTTTGTTGTACATTGCCCAGAAAGACCACTTTACCTGCAACAGTTAACAAACTTTTTGCGTTAACTTTGGTACTTTGAGGACATTTGACGAAAAACTTGGTTATATTTCGTTTTATGTCATCCAGACTTTAATTGCAAAAGATGGAATTTGAATTCCAAAATGTATCGTCAATTATACCTTACGGGGACACAATCCGGGGACACACTGTATGTATATGTTAATGCTGTGGTCGGTCCGAGATTTCATCCGTTCCTCTTGTTGGTTCCCTTTGGAAAGAGGCAGATATTTCGCCAAGATCTCACCTGACATCTTCAGTGCGTTGTCGTAGTCTCCTGAGTCTGCCGACAGGAGACACCCGGTATATAACAGACAGGAAGAATATATATAGGAAGATAAAGTATATATATAACCAACAGGAAGAGCGGATGAAATCTCGGACCGACCACAATAATACTTTTCCATCCGTGAAACACTACGCATTACCAATATATTTATACAGGGTGGTTCAGTTTTTAATCGGGAAACTTTACTAGGACGTAGTACTTGCCAAAATAACACAAGTTTTTTATATAAACATAGGGTCGCAATTCTTTTGTTTTCGAGCTGTGAGCTGTCAAAGTTGAGCAAAAAATTTACATTATATCTTTTATGTCGGGTATGAGTAAACCACAGAATTTGAAATTTTGTATGTATGTACAATTGGTTAATATCTTATTTTCAATCATACCTCAAATTTCTCCAGCGCCCTCTAAGGGGATGAAATTCACAGCCCCTTTGATTCTTTTATAACAACTTCTTAACGCCATGGAATATTAACATAAAAAAATATGGGTTGTAAAGCTTATTCATTACTGGTGCTTTTTTGTCTCTTTAGTTTTTTCCTTAAAGATAATAGTTTTAGCGTAAAAAAATAAAATATGCTACATTGTACTGTAAAGCGCTGCTATTTTTTTTCTTTATAGGTGGCTATGAACGTTGTGCACTTACTAGGATCTAGTGCTAACTAAATAACACCAATTAATTGTGATTTTCATAAGAAAAACCATAAATAAGATTGATGCCTGTCTGAACAAATTACGTTGTTTTGAACAATATTAAAAAATTGATACTCTTGCTTAATAACCGTCAAAAATTATTAATAACCAGCAATAATTATGGGGATTCACTGTAAATGAAACTTACAAGTTCTCAGAGCCAACTTTTCGAATAATTTTAGCTAAACATGGCGGCACATAGCAGTACATGGCACGATATTTTATTTTTTTACACGGAAACTATTAACTTTAAAGGAAAATACTAAAGAGACAAAAAAGTACCACTAAAGAATGAGCTTTACAACCCATATTTTTTTATGTTAACATTCCATAGCGTTAAAAAGTTGTTATAAAAAAATCAAGGAGGTGGTGAATTTCAGCCCCTTAGAGGGCGCTGGGGAAATTTAAGGTATGGTTGAAAATAAGGTCTTAACCAGTAGTACATACGTACAAAGTTTCAAATTCTACGGTTTACTTACAGCCGAAATACAAAACACAATGTAAATTTTTTTCTCAACTTTGATCGTTCATTGCTCGAAAACAAAAGAGTTGCGACCCTATGTTTATATAAAAAATTTGTGTTATTTTGGCAAGTACTATATCCCAGTAAAGTTTCCCGATTAAAAACTGTATACCATTTACCGATTAAAAACCACCCTGTATATATATATACAGAGTGTATATATATATACAGGGTGTATCAGGTATGAGTAGAAAAAATTTGAGGGGTTATAGGTTCCCTTTTTGTGAATAAAAAATTCTTATAACACAATGTCCCATTCTTTACCATTCTTAAGATATGAGACGATAAAGTTAAGGGTTCGAAAGTTTAAGTACTGCTGTATAAAGAATTATACTAAGCAGGCTTTGCTAATGTATATAGCTTTAATTTGACACATAAAAGACATTTTTGAGATATTTCTTTAGAGGTTGTTTATTTTATACGAATAAATTTATCATCTCTGTTTTATCACTCTTTAATGTGAAAATTTAAGTTTTAATAAATAAACTTGCTTATTGTATTAAAAACAACAAAATTACAAAACTAGAAACAAATTACAAATTGCAAAGCAAAGCCTGCTTAGTATAATTCATTAAACAGTAGTACTCAAAGTTGTGAACTCTTAACTTTATCGTATCATATCTTAAGAAGGACAAAGAATGAGACATTGTGTTATAAGAATTTTTTTTTCAGAAAGAGGAGACTTATAACCTCTCAAATTTTTTCTACTCATACCTGATACACCCTGTATACACATAACATTTTTATATATTATTACATTTATACATATATATGATTAGTGTTTATAATGTAATCAGGTGGGCGTGATATAATTCAATTATGATATCGATATCGATATGGTAGTTTCGTGAGGGGTTCCAACTGATGTGTAGATCGACGGTTGTAGATTACAAAATAATAAATAGATGTTGACGTTGCGCCCTCAGTCGGGGTCGCGGGCATATGTTCCGAGCCATTTAACGAATTAGGGCACGATACCAGCGCAGCCACCCCCTTTCGATCTCCCTATACACAGCACGATTTTTAGCAAATTCCCACGAGCCACTCACCCCACATCCATCAACCAATTAAGGTGATTATTGTTACATCTTCAACTATAACAAATCACGTTTCACATCAATTTTTTTCTATACATTTAATTTCGAAATTCGTAAATCCTTAACAATAATTGCTATGGAGTATTTTTATTCGGTTCGGGTTCTTTCTCGGTTATAATGACTGGCAATTGTCGGAGGGGGAGGTTAATTTGCTGAGTCGGCGAGAATGAATAATAAAAAAAAGTGATAAAATTTGAGGACCAGAGTCGGGGTGATGTAAAAGGCGCCTCCGCCCTATGTTTACCGTTTTGCGGGCGTGAATTGATGGTGTTTGAGTTGGACGCGTGCGGACGCGTACCCGGTTTCTGCGGTACAAATTGGCCAAGTCATGTTGGTCGAGTGCGTGATACACGAACCGGTGGGAACGCGAGTCAAAGTATCACTGACTGTTCGGATGTGAAGAGTGTTAACTGATCGTCTAACGATGATTCAGTCAATTTAAATAGCATTTATTCTTATGAAAACGTAACTGTACAAAAATGTTCTTTTTTTGTCAATAATTTACAAAGTATAAGAATAAAGGGAATAAAAGTTTCTTGTTGGAGTTAGCAGTAAATATTAAAAAGAGATAAAAAGGGATCAATAACGATAAATATTAGAAATGGAAGAGGAAACCGGTAACACTCTATTTTATTACGGGAAGTAGTATAAATCTTTTGGGTGAGTTCTATATGAAATTTCTCTGAGAAAGACTTCGATTTCTTAGAAATATTTTTCCTTCCGTTGGGTTTCTTTGTCCTTAAAACATGATTTTGTAACTTCTACTTTCCCATTTTTCTTGTTTTTATTGATTTTATAAATTCAAAAGATCTATTTTTATAAATATTGGTGTTTTGATCATTCATCTATAGTTTTAACAATGAGTGACGCAGTAATAAGAAAAAAAGAATAATCCAACCTTAATCAATAAAAAAACTAATTGGGAGAGCTTTAATACGAGTCTTAAAGATAATCTGGCTGCTAGAAATCAAATAGATGAAGAGGTTAAAAACCTAACCCAGCGGAACTCAATGAGCAAAGAAAGGAGTTTAAGCACAGAATCACGTTGTGCAATGATAAAGATGGGCATCTTGTTCCGGACCTCAACTTAATATTAAACTGGTAAAATAGCGACAGTGGCTATCTTTAATTTTTAGTCACTTGGCTAGGATTTAGAAGATTTTGTTCTTTTAAGCCTACTTACTAATCCATATTTATCGAAAAGCTGGATTGTGTGATGTTACTGACACCGTTGTTGACCTACCACGGCGAATATTAAGTATACTTCGAAGTGCTTTATTTTGAAAACTCTATATTATGGCAATATTGTTTTGTTTAGTGCACTTTCATAGCTAATTATAATAGGTCCAGATAGGCACCAAAATTTGCTTGTAAATGAGCAGTTTGCCCACTAACTGGTACATTTTACGATATTTAAGGTATAGTTACTCGTGTTTTTTCTTGACATATACTTTTCACCTAAGCTATCCATTCAGCGTCATGCCCAAGTATTTATATCAGCCATGTCCAACCCAAATTACTCTTCGGGCCAAAATTTAGGAATGTACAAGGCACTGGGCCGCCACCCACCTGAACAAGAAAATTTCAATTCTAGCGCACACTCGCGCTCAAATGAGATACGTATACACAAACTAGCATGTACACAGATATACACAATAATATATAGGTATTTCAGTAAATTACAACAGATATTTAATGTGAAACTTGTTTATTTATTTTATTTGAAATCTTTTTAATATCAACTTCTAATTTTGTTGTGGCACAACGTAACTGATTCGTCAAATTTGCGTCGGTGAGCCTGTTACGGTCTTTGGTTTTGACTAATTTTAATCTAGAAAAAAATGACTCACAGAGATATGTTGTGCCGTTTGCTGCCACAATACACATAGCTAATTTTTTCAAATTAGGAAATTTATCTTCCTGGATATATTTTCCATAAAAGTCGACTATATTGATGTCCTCAAACCTTAATTTCATTTCTGAGTTGGACTGCAGATCGATAAGTTCCAGTTGTAAATAACCTGGAGCTGAATTCACATCAATATTAAATGGACAATTAAAAATATTGAACATTTGTTCAAATTTTTCTAGGTAGGCAAATCTTTTTTCAAATTCCTCAAGCAAATCTTTAATATTATGCGAATATTCGGAAATGGGTTTATTTTCCATTTCGAAATCATTTAAGTGAGGGAAATGTGTGGCATTATTCGATTTCAGTTGATTTTGAAAATATTTTAATTTAGCAATGAATGTCTTTATGTCTTGATAGCAATTCGTAATTAATTTATTTTCTCCTTGAAGATTCTGATTTAGTTCATTTAATTTAGTTGTGATATCTATTAAGAAACACAAATCCAACAACCATTTTTCATCGTATAATTGTGGAACGTCTTCGCCGTTCTCATTCATGAAAATTCTAATTTCTTCCCTGAGGTTCCAAAATCTTAATAAACATTTTCCACGACTCAACCATCGTATTTTGGCGTAATATATTAGGTCACAGTACTCGGACTCCAGTTCGCGAAGGTATTCTTGAAACTGGCGGTGTTTTAATGAATTATTTTTTATTTTGTTAATAATATTAATGACAACTGACATCACGTGAGACATATTTAATGACTGAGCACATAGATTTTCTATATGTAAAAAACAATGACAAATAAATAAATCCAAAAATGATGTATTTTGTCCCAAGCTTTCAATATGTTTGCAAATTAAAGTAACTGCTCCTATGTTTTTTCCTATCATTGATGGTGCTCCATCGGTTGTAATACCAATAAGTTTTTTTAAATCTAATTGTCGATCTTCCGCGCATTTTAGAACAGCATCTTTAATATCTTTGCCCGTTGTTGTATCCTTCAGACTCACAAGATCAAGGAGTTCTTCTGTTACTTTCAGCTTATTATCAACTCCGCGAATAAATATAGCAAGTTGTGATGTATCCTTGATATCGGTTGTTTCATCCAAAGCTAATGAGTAGTACACAAATTGTTTGGTATGTTCATTGAGGTTTAGGGAAATTTCATTGGAAATATCATCAACTCTACGTGCAACAGTTTGATGAGACAGACTTATTTGTTTATAAATATGAACTTTTTCCGGGCTAATATCTTCAGCTGCAGCAATTAAACATTCTTTGATGTATTCTCCATCCGAGAAAGGTTTCATTTTTTTAGCAATAATTTGAGAAATTTTTAAACTTGTACTGACAATGTCGTTTGATTGTTGATTTTGTTTTTGAAACACATTTTGTTGAGACTTTAAGTTAGCTTTAAGTAAGTGTAATTTGGCCTTGCGTTCACCACCAGAAAGTACAGAAAGTTCCGTATGTTTTTCATAATGTCTTCGTATGTTATAAGTTTTAGCAGTAATCGTTTCACGACAAACTAAGCACACAGCATTATTTTTTACTTGCAAGAAAAAGTAGTCATCTTCCCAATTATTTTTAAATTGTCTGTTTTCATCTTCTAGTTTTCTTTTCTTCCTACCCGACATCGCACGTCAATATTATGGACAATTTTATTTATTCTGGTATAATTAAAGAAACGAATAAATTTTTGTAGGACTGCAAATTAAAATAAAATATTACTTACTTTTATTTTCACAACCTTTTTAAAACAATAAGTTTATCAACTCTGTGATTAATCAACTCTCTACGAAGAACTCGCATAAACTGAAGGGACTAGAAAATTTTATGATTCAATCCACTTTTGAGCGAAACAGGGGAATACCCGACAAAACGGACAAATTCGCAGTTACGTATCTCCGAATCTACGTAAGTCGGGTTTACGTAGGTCGGGGTATTTACTGTATTCGTAAACGCCATACATCGGGATTCGCTATTGTGCAAATTATTTTTTTAACATCGTCATTGCCGACACCTCGGCGGCGGTGTCAAAAAAATTAAGATGAAAGGTTCTTCCCAATATATTAAGCTATGTGTTTACCAAATTTGGTGAAATTCGGCCAAGGAATAACTGAGTAAAATCGGTATATAGGTACCCACATACATACAAGATTCCATTTTTATATATTAAGATATAGGAGTTTTATAAAACGTCATTCGACCAAGTAATAAAAATTATTTGTATTATCGATTATTAAAATTTAAATATTAATTTGTGCGATTTCCTTTTTTTGTTATCGGGCCGCACAAAAATCGCAATCGGGCCGCAGGCGGCCCGTGGGCCGCCAATTGGACATGGCTGATTTAGATGTATCAGAATATGGTACGATAATTCTATTGATAGTGACAGCAGTATTTTAGCCAAAAAGCGGAATTATATAGGTTTTTTAATTTCATGATCGCTATTCTGCGTAATTGTTTAAGTTAGACCATTCGATATGAAATGAAATCCGATGATTTCTTTGTATTTAAGTTATACTTGATTTCGAATCTTTCTTCTGTTAATGATACAAATGATATTCGTTCTGGTCACGATCTGCATTGGAGATTTGTATTTGAAATGCACTCCTTAGGTCAAAACGTCTTTAAAGACCTCAATCTTTGGCATTGCAGATTCGCTATAGCTATCAAATCCTGCTTTCTCTTAGAATCTAATAAATCTACATTAATTTAGCATCAATAGAATGTCTTCTTTGATATATTGATTTCTTTAACGATCATTGTAAACAATAATAATATTTTTAGGAAATATAAACAGAAATACTCTTTATGTACCAACATTTATAATTAAAGGTGGTTTCTTATCAAAGCTTATTTCAATTATGGTAAACAAGAGTTATGATTTAAATTAATGCCTCTTAATAGTAAGATTTCGTAATGATGCTATTTTAAAATCTCGAGGTCTTTTTGACAAACGTTTCTTTACAACAGCTTCTTTTTACAAAACAAGAATTATAACTAATAATAACTTGTTTCTTTATTAACGTATTTTATTTAGACTCTAATGTTATTCTTTAATTAACATAATAAACCAATTACGGTTATAGAACGAAAACAGCGATACAGGCACAACACATGTTCGTATCTGCAAAATACGCGATGTAACCGACGCGTTTTGGCCGCACTGCATCCGCCATTTCCGGTGCGACGCTTCATTCGCGCCGTCAATAATAATTGATTTTGACATACACAGACAGACACAAAACCCCCGACCTCCATACATGCATGCATACTCATTCGCGATAATTCCCGCGATACGCCATTGACCGTCCAAATCATCAGCGACATCATCATCATCATCAAGTTCCATCACCACACATTCATGCCCGCATTCATCCCTTCACCCTGTTTTCCCCCCGAACCCCATTCGATACGGAGGGAGGCATCATCGATGGGTTATGTATCCGCCACGCCCTAGTGGTTAGCCGGAGCCGTTAATTGATATATTGGTCGCGCAGAGGGAGTCAGTGTGAGAAAGCTAGAGCGAAGCTTTTGCTGGTCGGGGGATTGGGAGATGGGGTAGCGAGTGGGATAGGTGGTGGTAACTCGATCGGTTCGATACATCATCAACGGATCCATTGTCAAGCGACAGGGCGCATTGTGCGCTATCGCTGGCGCCGCGGGTTGGCGTCGTGACGATCACAACTATGTGGAAATGTATCTCGAAAATGTTTATTATCTTGAGGAATTATCTTTGTGTAAATGATATTAAAATGCAAATCCTTAGAATGAGTTAATGGAAAAAACATATATACACATATACCATATAGTTACGAAACTATTATGCACTGAGATTCCGTCTTAAGAAACGCACGGCTAAACCCGAATGTTTCCGGTTCTAGGTCTTGTGGTAGTTCTAGTGATAGTACTAGTGCAAAACTAGAATTAACACTACACTGAGAACTAGAAATATGCGGATTTAGCAGCACGTCTTTCAAGATGGCTAAACCCGAATGATTCTAGTTCTAGGTTTTGTGTTAGTTCNCGAGAACTAGAAACATTCGGATTTAGCCACACGTCTCTTAAGACGGCTAAACCCGAATGTTTCTAGTTCTAGGTCTAGTGTTAGTTCTAGTTTTACACTAGCATTAACACAAGACCTAGAACTAGAATCATTCGGGTTTAGCCGGGCGTCTGAAGAAATGTTTCTAGTTCTAGGTCTAGTGTTAGTTCTAGTTTTAGTGCGATAAAAGTATGCAACACAGTGATATTTTATGCTAACTAGCGCTACCTACCACTGTCACTAGAACTAACATAAGGTCTAGAAGTACAAACATTCAGGTTTAAACGTCTTAAGAGACGCACGGCTAAACGGAATGTTTCTAGTTCTAGGTCTAATATTATTTCTAGTGATAGTGCTAGTGCACAACTAGAACGAACACTAGACCGAGAACTAGAAACATTCGGATTTAGCCGCACTTCGCTTAATGACGGCTAAAACCGAATGATTCTAGTTCTAGGTCTTGTGTTAATGCTAGTGTTAGTTCTAGTTTTAGTGCAATAAAAATATGCAACACAGTGATATTTTATGCTAACTAGCGCTACCTACCACTATCACTAGAACTAGCATTAGATCTAAAAATACAAACATTCAGGTTTTGCCGTCTTAAGAGACGCACGGATAAACGGAATTTTTCTAGTTCCAGCTCTAGTGTTAGTTCTAGTGATAGTGCTAGTGCAAAACTAGAATTAACACCAGATCGAGAACTAGAAATATCCGGATTTAGCTGGACGTCTTTCACGATGGCTAAACCCGAATGATTCTAGTTCTAGGTCTTGTGTTAGTTCTAGTGATAATGCTAGTGCAAAACTAGAACTAACACTAGACCAAGAATTAGAAACATTCGGATTTAGCCGCACGTATTTCAAGATGGCTAAACACGAATGATTCTAGTTTTAGGTCTTGTGTGAGTTCTAGTGATAGTGGTAGTGTAAAACTAGAACTAACACTAGACCTAAAACTAGAAACAAATGCAATAAAAATATGCAACACAGTGATATTTTATGCTAACTAGCACTACCTACCATTATCACTAGAACTAACATTAGATCTAAAAGTACAAACATTCAGGTTTAGCCGTCTTAAGAGATGCAGGGATAAACGGAATTTTTCTAGTTCCAGCTCTAGTGTTAGTTCTAGTGATAGTGCTAGTGCATAACTAGAACTAACACTAGACCAAGAACTAGAAACATTCGGATTTAGCCACACGTCTCTTAAGACGGCTAAACCCGAATGATTCTAGTTCTAGATCTTGTGTTAGTTCTAGTGATAGTGCCAGTGCAATACTAAAACTAATACTAGACCGAGAACTAGAAACATTCGGATTTAGCCACACGTCTCTTAAGACGGCTAAACCCGAATGATTCTAGTTCTAGATCTTGTATTAGTTCTAGTGATAGTGCTAGTGTATAACTAGACTAACACCAGACCGAGAACTAGAAACATTCGGATTTAGCCACACGTCTCTTAAGACGCTAAACCCGAATGTTTCTAGTTCTAGGTCTAGTGTTAGTTCTAGTTTTAGTGCAATAAAAGTATGCAACGCAGTAATATTTTATGCTAACTAGCGCTACCTACCACTGTCACTAGAACTAACATTAGATCTAGAAGTACAAACATTCAGGTTTAAACGTCTTAAGAGACGCACGGCTAAACGGAATGTTTCTAGTTCCAGCTCTAGTGTTAGTTCTAGTGATAGTGCTAGTGCATAACTAGACTAACACTAGACCGAGAACTAGAAACATTCGGATTTAGCCACACGTCTCTTAAGACGGCTAAACCCGAATGATTCTAGTTCTAGGTCTTGTGTTAGTGCTAGCGATAGGTCTAGTGTAAAACTAGAACTTACACTGGAACACTATACCTGGAACTAGAAAGTATCGAATGTTTCTAGTTTTAGCTCTAGTGTTAGTTCTAGTTTTAGTTCAATAAAAATATGCAACATAGTGATATTTTATGCTAACTAGCGCTACCTACCACCTATCAACCGTCTTAAGAGAGCTACGGCTAAAGGAAATGTTTCTAGTTCTAGTGTTAGTCTAGTTTTATTTGTTATTCAGCTCTAGATTGTTGTCAAATTGTATTGACATGTTACATTTTGTGTGGAACAAAGTAAGTAGGTACGTCTTCGTTTCTATGGAAATATATTTTTGTACATTGCATCTTAAGTGAAATTCAATGTATATAATAATAATAATCTATTTTATATAAGTAAGAAATCGAGTGAGACATCAAAATCGTAACAAAACTTGATTAGAAGCTTGAAAAATAAAACAGTGAGATCAATTTCATTCGTTGCTAAGATGGTGGTGCGAACTCCGAAAGCTCCGTTTCCACGGCAACCCCTCAACGACGCCCCATTGGTCCGTTCGAGCTTTATCTTGCGTCGTTCAGCCGCAAGCAGCGCACAGAAAATATGATAGATAATCGGTAAAACCTTTTTTAACGTTGATTTACTTTTTGTTTTGGAAAAATAAAAAAGAATTTACCTTGTACACATCTTTTGATTTCCGTTTCCGTATCCCTCAACCTGCTTGAATCCTGTAGAGAATCTTGACTCCTACTCCCCGATGAGACTCCCGTATAGAGGTCACTAAACGCGCTTCCAGCGCCTAGAAAACCACTTCGATCCTGAAAACAAAAAAATTAAAAAAAGAATAAAAGTTGAATTTTTTGTTACCTGAAGCGCCGCTTTGGCCTTTTCTACGCTTTGTTTTAATTGCTCGAATGTACTGGGATTACAAAAACGGTAAGCTGGCCAATCTGCTGCAGACGTTGTGAATTCTTCGCTTTTAATACCGAGAGGACAACTCGAACTCGGACTCCGTTTCAACTCTAACGCTCCTTGATAGGAGCAACTACTTTCATACATTTTGCGACGAAGTTGGCACTTTTTTCTGTAACAAAAAAATTTTTCATTTAAACACTTTTCAGAAATATTTTTATTTATTATATTTTTACCTCATTTTATAAAATTAAATTTTACTGAGTATTTTTTGAAAACAATACGATGTGTTGTGTATGTTTCGAGTAAAAAAACTCAACTGCACAAACGACGAAAGTAGACGTCCAGGAAGTGGCGGCAGCGCGCGGTGCCAACTTCCTCAATTTCGTCTAATCTGAATATTAGGCGCGATTCTTGCGCGAATTGTCGCTTCACGTCATTAGGTTCATGGGTGACGTCCGGTTTTCGGACTCCAACGTACGAAACGTTTATACACTGGGCTGATCGATTTTTCTTTCTTCGCTTTATTCGAAATCGACATGCGAGAATTACGCGAGGAGAAAATGAGATCAACGGTGTCGTTCAGGATATTTCTACACCGTACTACTTCGGGAGCACACGAGGCCGCTACTAACGCGAACGCCAATTGTCCGTTTCCGCTTCAATTAGTCGTACAGGAAGAGATCCCTCATCTCATTATGCACCGGTTTACGAATTTTATTTTTAGACAACAATTTAAAATTTTTTTTAAACTACTTTTGCATATTTTTGTTTCTTAAAAAGATAAATAATAATGATAACGATTCATAACTACCTCTTCATTGTATTTAAATACAACGGTATTATTCGATGGTATTTTTACATAGTGTTGAGGGTTGTGTTTTGGGAAAAGTCGGATAGTAATTCGTTACTGCGCCCCCTGTTTCGCATAAATAACGGCGCCGCTGCATTATCTTTTTCCTAAAGTAATATTCGGGTAATGATAATTTAACAACTGGGAAACATTCCTGTTGTGTTCGCTCTCTTTTGTGGCTGCCGTCGCCGCTTTGGACCGCAGCCAAGAGACGCAGCTCGTAAATTTTTTGGTGGAGGCGGCGGGTACGTTTTTTGCAGTCGACGCCGCGCCGGGTCGCGTCCCTTCGAACTCTCGATCGCCCTTTCGACCCTTTCGTCGTTCGTCGAAACTCTTCCGACACATCATTTCGATCTCCCCATAATGGACAACTTATTTCTTTTTCCAACTTTATAAAATCCTTATCAATTAAAAGTGGCTGATAATAAAGATTTTTTTATTGCGAGCATAATAAATATGACGGACAAAAATAAAATTTGCGAAACGTGTTCGTTTTATCGCTAAGAGAGGGTTGGGTTGGTTTAGAGTCGTTTCAGTTTGCTAGTGGTCCTCACCGCTTGTACAATATTTCACCCCTTTATCAGTTCCGGGTGGTACAAAGAGGCTTGTCCACGTGACATACCGGCGCTTTACGCCTTTTTACCCCATAGCCAAGCTCTGTGTTTGCAGACATCTGCACGGTTTATCGCCGTTTGCTTGGCAAAAACATTATGAACCACAATATGAAATGGAATGTAATCTTTATCATGTTTAACCACAACCACTTAATGAATTATTTTAGTACAACTTAATGCTATTTTAACTTTCGAAAAAACAAAGAACAAATCATTATGAAACAAATCGAAAGTATTAAACAAATTCTATGAATCGAAAAAGATCTTAACTTTCTTGTTTTATTGGCCCATGGTGACAAAACAATTTGCCAATAACTCTTACGTTATCATGTGGAACCATATTTTGCCATTTTAGACCCCACTCACAATACTATATCAACCCAACCTAAGGAAACGCATAAGGTAATATTTATTAACACATTCCCCAGAATATCACACAAAACGCGTCGCTTTAACTAACACTATACCTATAACTAGAATCCATCATAGATACTTTCTATGTCTAAGGTCCATTACTACCACCTTTTCGTTAAATTTATCTTATAGATAAATTCATCTACTAGCCAATCAAAGCGCATAAACTAACCATAACCGTGGTAATAATCCCTTAGATAGCTTAACCACAAGATGGTAGTGACGAGCCTAAGTCTAGTGTTAGTTCTAGTTTTACACTAGAACTAACATAAGACTTAGAACTAGAATCATTCCAATTTAGCCGTCTTAAGAGACGTACGGCTAAATCCGAATGTTTCTAGTTCTCGGTCTAGTGTTACTTCTAGTTTTGCCCTAGCACTACCACCAGAACTAACACAAGACCTAGAACTAGAATTATTCGTGTTTAGCTGTATTGAGAGACGTGCGGCTAAACCCGAATGTTTCTAGTTCTAGGTCTACTGTTAGTTCTAGTGACAGTGCAAGTGTAAAACTAGAACCAACACTATACCTAGAACTAGAATCATTCCAATTTAGCCGTCTTAAGAGACGTACGGCTAAATCCGAATGTTTCTAGTTCTCGGTCTAGTGTTACTTCTAGTTTTGCCCTAGCACTACCACCAGAACTAATACAAGACCTAGAACTAGAATCATTCGTGTTTAGCTGTCTTGAGAGACGTGCGGCTAAACCCGAATGTTTTTAGTTCTACGTCTACTGTTAGTTCTAGTTTTAATTAATATTCAGCATTAGATTGTGGTATATTTTTGTTGAACAAAAAGTAGAACTAACACTAGATCTAGAACCAGAAACATTCGGGTTAAGCCGTGCGTATCGTAAGACGGCCGAAAACTCAAGGTCATCATAAGGACGTCACCTCTTCCAAGCAAAACTTTCCCTTTGCAAAACTACCCAATGCCTGTATTATTAAGTTATGTTGCATTTTATGTGGAACAATACAAGTGTATAGTAGTTTCGTAACTATGGTTATTGCATTTATATATTGCGAGTTATATGAAATTCCCGGTGTAAAGAATATAAGAGAATTAATAATGACATTAAATCACTAGTTAGGTAAACTAAGAACGACCATTAGGAAATATTCTTCAAAAGAATGGAAACTGATTTCTATATTCTGCAGAAACAAATTTGGCGATTAATTTGAAGTCAAAGAACAAAAGCAAATGAATTTACCCATTAACACCAGATACAGAGAAAGGGATACTTGCGTAAAATATTTAGAGGAACTTTACAAGAGGGAAGAGATCGAAATAGTGAACCGAATGCAAGAAAAATATTAACGAACGATGAGATTGTAATAGAGAAGAATTGCATAAAAATAGTACTCCAAAACACAAAGAGCAGAAGTGTAATGGAAAGTAAAGTATTTGTAGTTGGCGAATATTGCACAATAATTAATCAAGTCAATAAACTCAAAATACTTGTGCGAGGAGTGCGATATTCGCCAATTCAACAAATAAATTGTGATTGTTATATTGGTAATGAGAAGTAAGCTAAACTTAGACCTGTAATGTAGTCGTCGTAAGAATAAATAAAGAAAGTAAAGAAAAAAGTTATTTTAAATAAATTACACTCCAAACCCATAAAGAAATCATACAGAAATGAAAAGAAGAGTTTAAACATTACAGAAGCCCAGAGACGGAAACCTAGAGGGGGAGAGAACCTAATTCAAAGATTAACACTTTAATCAAAAAAAAACTCTCAACATTGGGTCCCAGATGAATGTCGTAGCTGAATAGATATAGTTCGTTTTTTTTCTATAATACTTGTCAATGTAATTTTTTTAGGGTTTCTGTTGGAATTATCTAGGACCCTATAAATTTTATGTTATTTTCCTGATTTTTAGTAACATTTTCAGTAACTAAATAATTAAGGTTAAAATACAAATAAATTTTTAGGTAAATATGATTTTAACCAAGTACATATTTATTACAAAAACGTGCTACATAGTAATTAAATAGAACAAAACACCTTTTGTAGGTAAATAAATGACAAATAAACACCCCATAACATTTTTATGCACCTTGTCTTTTTGAATAACGAAAGATCAAACGTCAGTGTGACATATTTATTTCAAAACATCATATAACAAAACTCCCTGTTAATTTTGCCAACTTTACAACAATTTGACAGATATTATAGAAAAAAAAATGAACTATACCTATAAATAATGACATTCGGCAAAGCGTCTGTCTAAGCCCGATATTATTTAACATCGCAATGGATGAAATTATAAAACACAACTAAGAGGTATACAAACTAAGATAATATAAAATAGTAAATAGGGAAGTCAAAATCCTATGCTATGCAGACGATATAGTGTTAATGAATGTGAATGAGGATAATCTCCAAAGATATGATAATATCAGCGGCAAAAACAAAATCTATGACTCTAATCTATAACCTCTAAGTCACCTGTCAGAAGCAAGCTTATGCTCGATGATACCATCTAGATACGGGAATGGGTAAAGAAAGAAGTGAGAATATCAGAGGTACATACGGGAATGAGCACATCGATCGCATGATAGAGGATAAATCACTTTCAGGACGATTAAGAATAGAAAAACCTAGAAAAATACGAAGCGACAACCTTCCAAATGACTAAATAAAATCAAAGGTGTAAACAAAAACAGGTAATTATGTCTAACTACAAACCAAAGAAGAACTAGAAGAATTACCAATCAAGTATCAAGCCAGTAGCAGTAAGATAAAGGTAACCCAAATAATCTTTCGAAAAAACGTTGGAATACGCATGAAAAAAATTTACATATACGAAAGGAAATGCCATTATAAACGTAAATAGAGATATTCCAGATCACTGTGTGTGTGTTTAGAAACTATGAAAAACGTTATTTTCTCTTAAATAATTACAAGGAAAATTTCGTAAGGATACTGCATAATGTAGAATTTCAAAACTTGCAAAAAGCACAAAGTAAACATTAAAACTAACTTGAACGATAAAAGCAAATTAACAAGGTCTAAAACAAATAACCATGGGAGAAAAATTCTAAAATATTGGAGCCCACCTCCACTTATTTCGGAAGCAGTGAAAACATTTATAACAAGTGGATTGAGAAACGACTACATTGGAGCAAAGATGTGAAAAATAAAACAGACAACTATTTGTTCATACAGAGGGAAGAAAGGAACAAGAAAAATAATCCAATGGAGATTAGTATCGAGATTAATCTTAATTGTGATGTACAACAAAAATTGGAAAAAGAAGTGTTGAAGAAATAGAAAGGAATTTTATTTCCAATGTTCAATCTCTATATAGTCTTCCTCTTCTGTTTAATCAATTTCTTGTTTGTATAGTCTTTTCTCAGTCTTCCTCCTCATTACCCAGTCTCCTTTTAGCCTTTCCAGTCTTTATTCAGCCTGGTTACCAATTTTTTCAGTCTCTCTACACTTTTGCCCCTAGTATTTTGCCCAGTACCTTTTTCTTTCCAATCTCTATTCGTTTACTTTCTTCTTTTATCAGCCATTTTCTAATTTCCCTCCTCTCTGTCCAATATGTTTTTTTTATTCCACTCTCTTTGGTGGTTCCCTTTTTGGTTTTTTAGTTGCCGTGACCAGTACGTTCTTTCTTTTCCCAGTCCTATTTAGTACTCTTTCCAATATCTGTTTAATTTTGTTTTTCTATTACCAGTCACTTTTCAGTTTCCAGCCTCTCTT